GGAATAGAGTCCCACGCCTTAAGCCTACAGGCAGATTGCTCCAGCCTGCAGCTGGTAAAGGAAGTTGGTAGCTTGGGTGATCACAGAGATTTGGATGAAGGCCAATATGTGGCTATAAGTACAACGAGAGCCAGATGGCAGCTATCTCAACAGCTGCCTAACTCCTTTCTCTCAAAAGTTTTAGCAAGTTTTTTGCTCAAACCAGCCTCATAAATGCACGATCTATATGTGCATGTCACAGAATCACAGAATCACCTGGGTTGGAAGGGACCTCAAGGATCATGCAGTTCCAACCCCCCTGCCTAGCAGGGCCACCAAACACACACATTCAGATCAGGTTGCCCAGGACCCCGTCCAACCTGGCCTTGAACACGTCCAAGGACGGGGCATCCACAACCTCCCTGGGCAGCCCGTTCCAGGGCCTAACCACTCTCCTTGTAAAGAAATGTCAGAATAAATGACCCCTTAAAACAGTTATAAACTACAGAGGCAATTTATAAGATGATTCACAATCCATAATTAAGCAATGCACTTTTGCTCCAAAGCTGAAAATCAAAGGGAGATCAAAGTCAGTTGTTTACAAAGCAGAAGAAAGCAAGAGGCAATCTGAGCAGAGAAAAGACAAAACTAAGTTATTCCCACACGTACTACACACAGAAGTTAGCAACAAAACTGTGCTGACTGAGCGAGGGATACATGGACAAAAACATTTTCAACTGTTATGAAATTAACACATAAAGAAGGTTCTGAGCTCCCAGCACACCTGGTCAGAGATCTCTTCCTCAGAGCTGGCTTCAGAACCTTAACAAACAGCACTTCTGGTAAAATGGCTGGAAATCCCAACTGCACCAGAGCTGGAGTCTCATTTGAGAGACTTCTTCCCACCCCATCACAGAGTGACTCTATGCATTACAAAGGAGGTTCCCACCCAAGTGGTTCAGCAATGGAAAAACAGTCAAAAGAAACAAGCTGCAGAAAGCTCACTTGTTTTAGCGTAGTTCAAAGAAACAAAGCCAGGTACAGCCTGTGAGCATCTATAACAGATATTCAGGTATCTTTCCCAACCCTGTTACAGATTCTCCATTTGATGGGGAAAATCACTTAATGTTAATGGCACCAAAACAGATAAAGTCACAGAAAAACAGACAGAAACGTCAGCTAGACACATGCCTGAATAAAAACTGGAAGGAAGAACGGAAGGAAGGAAAAATGAACTCCTGAGGCCCACAGGAAGAATGACAGCTGAGAGGATGAAGTGCTGCTGTAAACAACATGGACATACAGAAATCACTGCCACTGCAGACCATATGGAGGAGTCCTCCTACTTGGGAACAGGCTTTCTAATGCGTTGTCATGGGAATCCAGCAACACAGTATCCGTACACAAGAATGAATTCTTTCCAGAAGCAAACCCTGCCTGGATTTGATAACTGCTCTTCTGCCAAATGTAGACATACACAGATAAAGGACAATCCAGAGAAATCTGTAGTCTGCTACACTTGCTATGTAAAATGAGAACTTTTAATGGTCAATGCCACTGAAAAAAAAGTAAAGAAGAGCTAGGTATCAGCTCTTGAATTGCTCAGACCTAAATTACTGAGGTGCAAATGTCAGAGAAGCATTGCAGAATTGCTGGGACTCTCCTGTACTCTGCACCTCACTCCACCAGTATGTCACAGCAACTCCTCAGATTCCTTTTCCCCGATCAAATTCACAGCTGAAATGTGGGAATCAGTCTCCCTCTGCAAAAATAAATCAAATCTCCACAGTGTACTTCACGTACTATCATTAAAAAAAAAATGTTGAAGGGGACAGTTGTTAAGAGGACAGATCAGAAGCTTACACTGGGAAACCAGACTGCCTTGGAGAAGAACCTATGTGTGAAGACTTCCATCTCCGCGTGGAAAGCAAGAAGGAGAGCTTCAGTTTCTTTCTGAAAGCTCAGCTCCCTGCTTCCACACAGGTTTCTCTCCCAGCATGAACACCATATTCCCAGAAGCACCTGAAAACTTCACTGGTTCATTCCCAGGTTCTGCTGCAGCATACATAATTGGGTGTGAAGCAATCTTCAGAAACAAGCTGCCCAGGGTAACACAGAAGGAAGAACAGCATGTAGGGCGCAATAAAGCTTGGTTAGTGGCCTGATAAGCCTTGCTAGAGGTGTCTTTCCCCACTATAGATTATGGGAGGTAAAATTGTCTCAAAGGTACATACCTGTGTGACTTTCCAGGAAGGAGCTGGCAGCTCCTTCTACCCACCAACGTTCCACTGCCCAGCTCCCTATCATGGCAGCAATAAAACAGTTTGTGTGGCTAAGGCTATAATCTAGATCACTGAAATAAAAATACCCTTGCCCCAGAAACTGAATTCAGTTTCCAGCACAGCCCTGAAAACAGCTGTATCAGTAGAGCTGCAAGTGTGAGCAGAAGCAGGAATTCTTTAAGCTGTCTTCACCACTTGAAAGGGAGAAAATCACAGAAGAGCCAACACTGCAGTAACGTCCTTGGGATCTGTCCAACTCCAAACCTGTTCTAGTTCATAAAAATACAAACAAATTAATCGTGTCAGGAGACACTGACTACATCCTAGGAGGAAGATGGATGATCTGAGCTGGGGTTTCAAATCTGGTCCAGTAAATTGAATTGTGCACTCAGCTCCAAATGCAAGATAAAGAAAGATTCACACAGTAGAATGTCTAGTATCCTGATAACCCAGATACTCCCTCAGTGGGTGAGATAAGACCCAAACCTCTGACCCTACTATGATTTAAAATCCTACCTTGTATATCCCTGTCAAGTATCTCACCCATGAGGCAACCTTATCTACAAGACTCCTAGACATATACTTCATCTCCTGTGGCTGTCTTTTGACCTACTAAATCATGTCATATGTGAAGAATACGTGGAGGAACACTTCCCTGGGCTGCAGGCCTTTGGTTTATACCCCCTACCTGCGTGATGCTTTGCACATATTGGTTTCTGGAAATTAGTCATGTAGAGAACTTATTTACAAAGCTAGGCAGGACCTAACCAGCAGTTCAGTCACCCTGATGGTCAGGCAGTACCTAGCTGGTACCTTAACCCCTCTGTGCTGCAGCTCTCTACTTGTGAAATACTAAAAAATAAAGAACATATCACAGTGCAAAACATATCAGACACAGTGAGGGTCTTCTCAGGATAATGGACACTGTAGACAAAGTGCTCTTCTACTGTGACTTTCCTAAGAATATATGCTAAACACACTTTAGGTGATCTCCTGAAGGAGCAGTGCTGCTACACTTTTACCTTTTGCTGTCATCTTCAGTTACAGGTTGTTCTGTTTCAAACAAGTTTAGATCAGTCAGGATGTTGAAAGTCTCCTTTCCATTGCCATTGTTACCCTTCTGACTGTTCTGCTTTTCCTTCTTCCTCTCCATTAGATTCTGTAGTCTTCTCTGCTGTTGTACCTGAAGAGCTTTAAACTGGCTTTTAAAATGTTCGTTCCCACTTATGTCTGATTCCATTGCTTACTAAAAGCATCACAAGAAGAAAATGAAGAGCAAAAGAGAGCAGAGATCAATATCACATTCAAAACATCCTCTTCTAATAGCTGGTTTGTAGTTTTTCCACACCGACCTTTGCACAGTCTCCCTGCCACCACCTCTTCCTCTCAATCACTGTGCTTTTCAGCCTCACAACCTCACTTTAATGACCCTTTACCACAGATGCCTTTCAAACTGAAAAGAAATTTTCAGGTCTATCTTCACTCTAACATTAAAATAAGTGTTTTTAAATGTTTTTTTTTTTTTTTTTTTAAACAGATCCACTTAAAACAAACGTTTTTAGAGAAGAGCAAGTCGAGGCTGAAACGAAGCCAGTGTAACAACCATGTTACAGAGACTGAAAGTCTCTTCACCCAGAGGGTGGTGAGGCACTGGCACAGGTTGCCCAAGGAGGCTGTGGATGCCCCATCCCTGCAGGCATTCAAGGCCAGGCTGGATGCGGCTCTGGGCAGCCTGGGCTGCTGGTTGGTGACCTGCACACAGCAGGGGGTTGGAGCTGGATGAGCATTGTGGTCCTTTTCAATCCAAGCCATTCCATGATTCTATGGTCCCTGTTTATCCACTCTTCCTTTGGCCACCAAGAGCAGGTTGACAACCTTCCCCCATCTTTCCAAGGGCTGAGTGGTAACATTAAAGCAGCAGTATCACTATCCATTTCAATGCCTACCCCCCTTTTCACTGTGATTAAGGCAATCTGTTTTCTAGAGTGTTCCAGCCCTCCCTCCTTCTGTTTAAGGCCAAGTGCACCTTTGGCCTGACAAAACCAGTGGCTAAAGCTCCCACAGGCACACCCTGCAGACGGCGATTAGCACGGGGCCTATCTCACTCTGAGGCAGCCAGCAGCCTGATGAAGGACAAAGTGCACCTGCGTGATTGTGAGGGACTTTATTCAGCACCAAGCCTCGCTGGGGACGAGTAACAACCTGCATGCACCGTTCCCCCTCTGGGCTCTCTGGGATGTGCCACAGCTCCCCTTGTGCACCGTCACAGGCCGCGCTGCTCCATCAGCCTCTCTTGCCGGCCCACCAGCTCCGAGCCCCAGGAGCCTGCCTGCCTACCTACCTGCCTACCTGGCCTCCCCCAGCCCCGAGGCCGGCGGCGGAGCCCTCAGAGCCCGCGTTGGCACGGCCGTACCCAGCCCCTCCAGCTCCCGGCTCCGCCGCCGGCCCACGCCGTTCCCATAGCAACAACCAGCCGAAGGCGGAGCAAAGCGCGGGGCCGCGCATGCGCACCCAGCGGAGCGCCGCTCTCCTCAGCGCGGCCGCCATCTTAGCGCCATCGGCCTCCCGCTGACCCGAGGCGGAGATAGGAGCCACCATTTCTCCATCCTGGGGAAGAGGAGGGGCGTTTTACGGATAAACGAAGCGGAGCAATCTCCGCCTGCCCTGTAGCACCTGGACGTGTTTTCCAGCTGCCCCGTGGCTCAGCACAGCGCTCCCCAGGAAATCCTCACACAAACGTTGGTTATCCACAGTGCTCTCAGCTGTTTATTCACATTGCATCGCACATTCCTCCCCACAGCAACATATCACAGAGTAGGAGGGCACACCTTATTTGTGAGACATCATATTGGCACGATGGAATGTAGGCTAGTCAGAGAAATATCTTTTTTTTTTTTTTAAACCAACTCACTTCATCAACACATTTATTTTTGTGACTGCTGTTAGAAATAGGAGGGGTTCCTGCATAAAATCACATTGGCAGTTTACAAAGGTTTTATACCTCACCCAAGGGGCTTTTCAGATGCAAGTGCTTCAAAATTTCTATGGGAAAATATAACTCTTAAGTCACAGCTAGATGACGCTTTAAAAGCATTAGAATGCCAAACTCAGACATACTTTAAATGTTACATTTAAATATTAGCCGGAAGAACACTAAATAAAGTTACAAAATACAGTACTCCAAGGATCTGAAAGCCTATGGTAAAAATAAGGAGACTGTGTCTTCATTAATGATGAATAAATATAACATTTAAATAGCTGAAACACACCAAATAACGTCATGCCTTAAATAAAAAAATAAAATAGATGTTTATAGATCTCTCTATTTTAGCAGTCAGCGCTACTGGAAGCTTCTAAATTACAAAGCTGGAGGCTGGCAAATACACAGGACAGAAGATAACATGGGACAGAAGATAACATGAAAATACAGTGCTATCTTACAGATACGGCCTCTACACCCTGGCTGAGGCTTAGCAAAGCTAGCTCAGACTTTGTCATTTTGGGCAACGGCAGCAAAAGAAGTCACCAATTGTAGGGCTGAGTAAAACAGCCAAGGGGAAGACTATGGGTGCTTTACTATATCCCCTAAACAGCAGGGTATGATAGAGCCAATCAAAGAGAACCAGACTGCCATACCCATTCGCCTAGTATGCAATCATTTAGGCTGCCAGCCTCAGAACAGCGTACCATATACAAAAATAAAGGGCAATTCTCTAAAATGATATATTTTTCCCTCAAGAACCCCTTGATATGAGGTCTATAGATGCAGTACACAGGTCACCACCGGGACAGATGTAGGTCATCCTTCTGTTACTCCTTGGGCTTTATCACGTACTCCTGAAACATGGAATACAGCACACCTATGTGACAGAAAAAAAACACAGAAAAAAAAAAAAAGCTGGATTGAATACAAAGCGTTCAAAATCTGAACTCTGAAATTCTGAGCAACAGAAATAGCATTTCCCTTCCTCTTCTGTCATTTGTGGTTTGTTTGGTTGGTTTTTGTTTGTTTTAAATAGTCATGATGAACAAACACTACAGGATTTTCCGTGCACAGAAATTTTCCTTCTTGTACACAGATTCCCAGCCAGCTCTAGTCTGCTTTGCAGCCAAAGTCAAGCTTTGCTTTTGCACTTTCTGGGAAGGCAGATTAGGCAAGCCGTGTTTTGTGGGATGCTCATTCAAAACACACACACAGCTAAAATACTTAAATAGGGCCTCGAAGTACAGATCCTTCAGAACATTCAGGGATAATTCTGGGCAATAAGATCACTGTCTATGCAAGCTGTCTTTCCATTGCATTAAGTTCAGAAACAGCAACATATTTACATGGGAAAACATTAACAGCAGGCAGTCCTTTATCTTTTCCTCTAATTTCAGTACCTCCAGAAGCTTCCCACATGTAAAAGCAGTCAAAACTTCTACTCTCAAAGCTAGTGGAGTTTAATACTCAACACGTTTACTACAACATGCACCAGCAGGAAAAGAGGTGCAAGAAGGTCTCCACAACCCATGGTGCTCCCTGCTCTGGACGTACCACACGTTATTGCTCCCACAACGAAGCCCTGCGCTGCCACACGCATGTGAATCAGGTGAAGCGACATCTTTGTGTTCCCCCGATGCTTCAGTTTGTACAGCCCATAGCCCACCACCACGGCAAAGCCGGCCATCCCTGCAAAGGAGGAAAACATCCACGTGAGTAAGGATCGCCTCCCACATCTTGGTGACTTTGATCTGCCTCAAGAAATCCTGAGAGTAAGCATGTTTTTGTCTGATCTCTGCACACAGCACAAGTCCCTGTCCTTCCCACTGCTTTCCACCTCATTTAAGTCGCAAGTCAGCAGGGAAGACAATGACAATTTCCAGTGGTGTTAAAACACAACAGCAGAAACTCAGGGATCGTTCTCAAGGCGTCAGAATTTCTTCAGTATTTCTCAGAGAGCACAAGAGCTGCTTGCTTTCTTGGAAGGAAGCTCACAGTCAAGAAAACGGCTCAGCATTGGCTGGGACACTCAGTGCTAATGGCTTGTGGAGGCATCCTAACCTGCCTGCCAAGGATGTTATTTTGGGTGTTGTCACATTTGGCCTTCTTTCACCTGGACACAGGTCATAAGTTCCTCTCCTACACTACAGGACAGATGTTCAGCAAGGTATCTTCACGGGGACACTTCATTTTAGTCCCACAAACCACACAGCCCATTTCCTTCCGGTATACAGAAAGGCTCTCACAGAACACCATGCACAACAGTTTTCAATCCCCGCCACTTCAGTCCACATTTAGGATGATTATTTACATAGTTCAAGGAAGGCTGCCAAGTTTTAAGGATTGTGTGTATTTTACTGCCAAAAGCCCAGACAGCTTGGCTACCTGAACAAGAATATTACCAGTTCCACCTGAGAAGCTAACAGCCTTTCTCTGTGCATGATTTACAGAATAGCTTCATAAAATACAAATTGAGAATTCTAGTGCCTGCAAGTCAATCTGACACAGTTTGAGGGTGAGTCGATCAGCCGAGGGAAACCCAGCCCATGGAGCATGCAGTCTGCTCCAATGAGCCACAGAGCAAAGTCCTGTGACCACAGAAACCAGAAGCAGCAATCAGCTGTTGTGGAACAGCTCACCCCAACTGACCTGAACACCGTCCATTTAAGGCAGCTTGAAATCAAACTCTGTGTCCTGTTAGAGGCGGTTCCCAAGCACAGAAAAGTTCCCAGGGGGCACACAAACCTTTCCTCAGAGCTCTTCCAGTAGCTCAGCAAAGGCTGAGCACTCAACCAGTCTCCTCAAACTGGGGAACCACTAAACCTAAAGACGAGAGGCCTCATCGATTTCTCTCTTTACCCAGCAGCAAATACCTCCGCAGGTACGATCAGCACTGCTGTTACCACGTAACGACCCTGCACGAGGAAGTCATTTCAAAGAGGAAGTCCTATCAAAGCAATTACCTACTCACTGTATGGGACTGTGTTTGCCATATTGATTTCCCATGCACAGAGAGCCTATGTAAGTAAGAACGCCCAGACTTAAGCTCACCAATTGGTACAAATGGCGTCTCCTTAAATTTCCGTAGCAGCTTCGACGTCTGGCTGGTTTCAGTCTCATACTCAGGGTAAACAGGTTCATGTCCGGATGACATGGTGCCTGCAAAGACAAGGAGTCTCCCTTGAGATTTTATAAATAAGTTAAAGGGAACTTTCAGAAAAAAAAAAACACCCTTGTGTATTCCACAGGAACGGAAGGTCAGCTTAGTTCAGTGCAAGCTACAAGAGCTGAAGCTGAGCTGAGGAGTTGCATGCAGATGATTTAAATCAAGCAAAGCCTTGGGAAGCTTATGTACAATTCAGAAAAAGTTTGATGGCAGAAACTTGTTGCTTTATTAATCTTTCACCCCACGACAGATCCCAGCACTCCCACAGGCCCACGGGCAGCAAGAGGCTGCTGAAAGCTTTAATCTCTGCCCACATTTCCTCTCACTGCTCACCCCACTGCTTCGCTCCCTACCAGCAGATTCCTTAGTAGCTGCCCTCAGCTCATCCCTCCCTTTTGCTGCCTGCCAGGAAATGCAACAGAAGTGCTACGGGTGGAAAGAGCAGCAGAAGGTCAGTGCTGCCTTTAGTGGCTGCTCTGTCACAGCTGCAGCCCATCCTGCTGGAGAGCAGAGCAGGAGCGTGCCCTTGGTGGACACAGCAGCATCACAAGCAGTTGCCATTGCAGCACAGGTGATTCCCCAGAGAGGAAAAAGAAACAAAACCAAACATCACCGCATTTACAAGAGCTCTACACGCTGAGCCTACACCTAACTAGGGAGATCACCACCAGAACTCCCCCGGTTGATCCCACACCACCACGCCGCGCTCCTCCTTCACCTCCCACTGTAAGCATCACTCAACAATCAGCGGCCACTCCTGCTACCACAGCCAGCTCAGGAAGGATTTCTACCTGCATCAATCCAGCGCTGCCCCAACACGCTCGATACCAAACTCAACCCAGCCTCCCCCGGAACCGCACTGCAGAGCTACGCTAAGGGCAGGCCGGGGACCTGCCGGAGCACACCACGGAACAGGCAGCACGCCCGGGCCGAGCAGCATTTCCTGCACACCCATTTCACCCCAGAGCTCTTTAGAATAAACGCTCAAACCGCTCCCAGGGCCCTGCCGAGCTGCGCTCCGCCCTTCTTCCGCGGGACCATGCACCTCATGCCCGGGGAACGCCAACCGAGCCGCCGGGAGCACCCAGAGGCCCGAGCCGCCCTGACCTTGCCCGACACCCGGGACACACCGAAGCCCGCAAGGCCGCCCGCGAGAACGGCTTCGACACGGAGGAGGCGAACGAGAAAAAAGATAGGAAAGAGACAGGCCGGAAAACGACCCTCAGCCCCGCACCCGGCGCCCCGCTCCCACCGCACAGCACGCACTGAAGTCGCCACTCCGCACTCGGCTCCCGACACCGGCCGGCGTCTGCGGCGCCAGGCCCCGCCCCCTCCGCGCTATTGGCCGGCAGCCTCGCCCTGCCTGAGAACTACAGCTCCCAGAGCCCCGCGCGCCCACCGCCAGCCAATCCCGAGCGCCGCTTGACGAGGCGGAGCTTTTGCTCCTTATGTGGAGTGAAGTCCTTATATGGACTAGGAGGTGAGGCAGGACGTGACGTCACTCGGGGGCTCCTCCCCTCCCCCCCCCCCCCCATCAGCAGTGCCTGCAGGAGGGGCGGCGTGGTGTCGTATGGACCCTTCCATCCCGAGGGCTCTTCTGTGCCGTCCCTTCTGCACTTTTCTGATTGCAGCTCAGCCCTTCTGCTCCATCTTCTTGCATTAAATTCACTTTGATAACAAAGGGACAGAGGGGATCCTGCTTCCTGTGCCCAGCACTGAATGGAGAAGTGTGTGTGTGTGTGTGTGTGTGGGCGGGGGGGGGGGGCAGGGAGGATTTTGCTTTTTTAGGGTAAAATCAAACAGTGCAGAGGTTGCAGCATTGATACACAAAGAAGAGATGTCAGCCCGACAGACACCTGTGCAGGGGTGTCTGGAGTGGCTGCATCACAATGTGGGGCTGCACAGGTTCTGGGTGCTGGAAACCCTGAATCACAGAATGGCCAGGGTTGAAAGGGACCTCAAGGATCGTGAATCTCCAAACCCCCTGACACATGCAGGGCCACCAACCTCCCCATTTAACACTAGACCAGGCTGCCCAGGGCCCCATCCAACCTGGCCTTGAACACCTCCAGGGATAGGCAGAGCATCCACAGCCTCTCTGGGCAGCTGTTCCAGCACCTCACCACTCTCTCTGTAAAAAACTTAACAGCCAGTGAAACCCATATGGAACACATACATCCCCCTGTGAAAGGCAGGGACGTGGCCATGGGGTCAGGAGCAGCCATGTGTGACCTCAGAGAGGCCTGAGATGTAGGGCAGTGAAGCTGATGCCATCAGTGCTGTCATTACTCTGCCTGCCCCAGGAGTTCAGCAGGGCCATGAGGCAGTGCCTGTGTTCAGCTATGGATTGTCATTATTATTTTTTTCCCTTAGTATTTACTACATCACTAAGAACAAACAGTATTTGCAAAACCATAGGGATTTGGGGGATGAACTCAGCACGTTGTTGCATTCCCAAGAGTGGGTTTTTAAGCTGCTGTTTACAGGAAGCAAAACAGAACATGGTTTTTCAGCAGCTTGTTGGCTTTTTGCTTAAAAAATTATGTTGATGTAAACACACATTCAAAGTCAAATGGAAGTTCTCTAGTGGATGGCAGGACCCTGCTTTGCCTCCACCTGATTTTTGCCTTTTTACCTTATTTTTATTTTCTAAATTTGAGCTCAGTTTGCCCCCTCCTTACAGTGGGACAGGGATTTTAAAGCCTAAAGACAGCATAGAAATTGTTCCTGATTATGGAAGCAGTGCCTGGAGCTGAAACAAAACTCCCCCTGAATATCCTGAAGATGCCTAAAACCTTCTCCTGAACTCGGAGGCAACTTGGCCTCCGAGAAAAACAGCATAGGAAGGTGCTTTGTGGAGACCCCATTTCTGTAGGCTGGGGCCCCAGAAAGAGCAGACTCCTGCTTTTCCAGGCAGCAAAAAACAAGCAGTTCTGCTAACCCTTTTATTTTTTTTTTCATGCTACTGAACGTCCCTAAATGCGCTTTCCATTATTGATAATCTGGTTACATTAATTGCCAAAGCCATTAAGGTTCTGCAGAGTATAAAAGGAAAAAAAGGAATCTGCAATTACCAGCTCCCAAATGGAGTTAAAATCTGGTAATAAATGACAGCGAGGGCTGCTCTTGGCCGTGGCTGTTACAGACACATTTAATTCCCTACAACTCTGAGCTCTGAGCTCGAGGGTAGAAACTCAATTATAAAGCCAAACTCGCTTCGTTTTCATTGCTGGGCTAACGAAGCTCCTGTCACCTGGAGCAGCCCCATCAAAGCTTCTGCTTTTCGCTCCCTGCTAATGTACATTGCCCAGATGTGCTCCAGGGCTTGCACAGGCCTGTGAGGCAGCTAATTGCTGTAATTGACCAGCTAAATGGCTGGTTTGGTTCCCTTTGGAAACCTGAGTCTTAGCCTGGCAGCAGAAACAAGCAGCTTTTGGTCCTGCATGGGCGCTGTAGGGAAATGCAAGTTTGATGCAAGGGCAGAGCCTGGAGGAGCTGAGGTGTGGGCTGGGAGATGCATAGGTTTTCTCTGAAGAGTGTTTTAAATCAGTAACACCCATGTTTTTGGTGCAAAAGACATTTTGGAATAGTGGATAAGGAAGTAACCAACAAAATGTGTCTCAAAGTACCACAGCAACAGCAAGGAGAACATGGAGACCAGGCTGGAGGCAACTCCAGCACCAGACAGTGATATTGGACATCTCACTGCAGGATGGTTTCCTGACATTTTCCAGCTGTCAGCACTGGGTTTCCTGTTGGTTGGTGTCTTCTGTGAGATGCTGTTTCCATCCCGCTGTGCTCTGGGGTTGGTTTGAGCCCACGCAATGGTGGCAGCACTGATGTCCCTGTCACCCACACAGTGTCAACCTCCGCTGGACTCTTTCCAAGAGATCCCTGTCTGTTTTGTACTGGGGAGCCCAGAACTGGACGCAGTGCTCCAGATGAGGCCTTACCAGGGCAGAGCAGAGGGGGAGGATCACCTCCCTCGACCTGCTGGCCACCCTCTTTTTGATGCACCCCAGGATGCCATTGGCCCTCTTGGCCACAAGGCACACTGCTGGCTCATGGCCCACCTGCCATCCACCAGGACACCCAGGTCCCTCTCCGCAGAGCTCCTCTCCAGCAGCTCATCCCCCAACCTGTACTGGTGCATGCAATTATTCCTCCCCAGATGCAAGACTCTACACTTGCTTTTGTTAAACCTCATCTGTGGTTTTTTTCTGCCCAGCTCTCCAGCCTGTCCAGGTCTCACTGAATGGCAGCACGGCCTTCAGGCTGTCAGCCAATCCTCCCAACTTTGTATCATCAGCAAACTTGCTGAGGGTGGCCACCATCCCCTCGTCAAAGTCATTGATGAAGATGTTGAACACGACTGGACCCAGCACAGACCCCTGAGGAACACCGCTGCTTACAGGCCTCCAGCCAGACTCTGCACCACCAACAACAACCCTCTGTGCTCTGCCAGTCAGCCAGTTCTTAACCCACCTCACTGTCCACTCATCCATCCCACACTTCCTCAGCTTTGTTATGAGGATGTCGTGGGGGACAGTATCAAAAGCCTTGCTGAAATCAAGGTAGACTACATCCACTGCTCTCCCCCCATCCACCCAGCCAGAGACAACATCATAGAAGGCTACCAGATTGATCAAGCACGACCTCCCCCTGGTGAACCTGTGCTGACTACTCCTGATAACCTCCCAAGTAAGCTCAATCTGTCTCGCCTCCTTACAAATCCTAATTCAGCTTTTTTCAGGGGTGATGTCAGCGCTGCAGTGACTCCAGGAAAGGCAAAATGAAGGCAGGGCAGTCACGCTGAGCTCACGTTTCCTCTTGCACCACTATGAGAGGTTCGTTCCTAGAAGCCTGAGTCCAACTTCTGGCACAATGGGAACTGCCCGCCGTGGAGCAGCGGCTCTCGTAAGCGTGTTTTCTCTTTTGTGCTTGTAGATAATGGAAGAACCTGGAGAGCTTCCTTTGGGCTGGGGTTAATTTCTTGGGAGGATTAATCGCTTCTTTACTCTGCAACATGGGATGTAGTGTGAATGTCTGTGCAGTGCTGTAAGGAGGAGGGACGACACAGCCAGGGGAGAAGCAGCATCTCGGAGAGCTGAAAAAGCCCCAGAAGTGGGGGTGTGGGGTGGCTGCCCCAGTGTGGGTGCAGGGAGTGCTGGAGCTGTTTTGGAGTCTGACTGGATGTCAGAGTGGGTGGAAAATTTTGGCTTCCTCCCATGGACGTGTAGTCCAGAATGCATTCAGCTGCAGATGATTTTTCTCCAAAACATGAAGCAGAAAAAAAGCTCGTTCCCAGAAAGTTTTATTCGGTGCTGTTGTGCTGTGCATCCATCTGGCTGCCCTCTGGTGGTCGCCAAAGGAAGGTGAGACAGCAGGAAAACATCACAGCTTTGCTCACACTGAACTTTCCTTTTCAGCCAGCCTGGGATGGACCCTTCAGCAGTGTCAGACGCGGGATCACAACAGGTATGTCTGTAGCTTCAGCTCTTGCAGCTCTGCACTGCAGGGATCCTCAGCACTCTGCTCCAACCCTGCTCTGAGATGTAGGGGCTCCTGCTTCAGGCCCTTCCACGAGGAAGGCCTGGTTCTGGTCCTAGCTGCCTTTGGGGATCTTGGTCATGGGTAGGGTTAGGGTTAGCACAGCTCGTCCTGGGAACAGCAGCTTCATTTTCTCTTTACTTGGTGATTCAGTTGAGGAGAGCAAGACAGGAGAGGCTGCAGGCAGGGAACTGCACTACACACATGCTTTGGAATTGCTGGAAGAATGGGTCCCAGAGAAAATGAGGGCAGGTTTGGTCATGGTGTGTGCCCCAGGGGTGGTGGGGACATCTACAGCCAGTCTGACCTCTGTGACAGCCTTGGTTTGCTGTTAGAGCCTGGAGTCTTGATTATTAAAACCCACTCTGACCTTCATGGTACCAGCTGGAGATGTCTCAAGCAGATTTCATCTATCTCCCACCGTAGGAGATTTCATCTCTTCAGTAACAGATATTGCCCCGTTTGGGTGACTTTTGGAAGATGACTTCCTCGTGATGTTCTCGTGGTTGGAGTTCATTCAGAATCAGACTGTGAAATTAGGAAGTTCTCTCAGTTATTGACCATTTCCTGTAGCTGTTGGAACCAGTGTGCAGTCCTCGGGCACAAGAAGAGCAACTCTAATGCATAGCCTTGGGCAGGGGCTTCAACCCACCTCTTGTCTCATGCTTTGATTCCTGGAACTGACACAAAGAGGAGACCTGTTGTACCGCGAGTAGTTACTTGTTGCTATTTTGTTTCTGAGAGCAGCCCTAAAGCTAAAGGTGCTGGTGGCAGGTTCTGCTATGCTGAAAAGCAGGATGTCAGTTTGGATAGTAAGAAAAATTTCTTCTCAGAAAGAGTGGTAATGCACCAGCACAGGCTGCCCAGAGAGGTGATGGAGTCCCAGTCCCTGGGAAAGGGTAGATATGGTCAGTAGGGTGAAGGTGAGGGTAGGTTGGGGCTGAACTGGGTGATCTTAGCAGTCATTCCCAACCGGAATGATTCTGTGATTCTATGCTGCTTTCTCAGTAGGAATCCTGGTGAACACAGCAGTACACAGCTGGGTGTGGTGCTAGACTTCACGTAATTTAGGGTAGAAACTTCCTCAAAAGTGCAGTGGTGTCAGAGGGAAGTGGTGAATCAGCTCAGAGGAGACCATGCTTTTCGTGCATGGGAACAAGGAAACCTGAAGTATGATTTTAAATGTTTGTGTCTATGGCTGTCTTCATGCTGTAGGCAAAGGCCAAAGAGAGCAGGACATGCGGCATGGATTTAAACCTATAAGCTGAAGAAAACATTCCACTTTTGCTTTTCCTGCAACTGGAGTGACGTTTTGAAGTGCCCTGCTGATCCCCTTCTCTTGTCCTTTGCTCCTAGACAGCGATTTGCCCTGTGCAGCTTCAAAGCTGGCAACAACAGCTACAGCCTTGCTGGGTGGCCAAGATTACACTGCCAATTCAAGTGACTACCCCTATGAGTACCTGAATGAGGAAGACTACGTGCTCTATGGCCTTTGCACCAAAGAAGAGGTGGTGTCCTTTGGCAAAGCATTCTTGCCAGCTTTTTATAGCATGTTATTCCTGGTTGGGTTCACTGGGAACGCTCTTCTGTTTACTGTCCTCATGTATGTCAGTAAGCAAAAGAAGACAGCAGAGTTGTATCTGCTGAACCTGGTGGTTTCGGATTTTCTCTTGCTGCTAACCCTTCCTTTCTGGGCCCTGTTCATTTCTCAGTGGGTGACCTGGGATCTGTTGTGCCCAGTCTTAAATGCCATGTACATCATGAATTTTTACAGCGGTATCTTTTTTGTAAGCTGCATGAGTCTGGACACGTATCTGCAGATAGTTCATGCCTACTCTCCTCACTGCTCTGTGACACGGAAGAAGTCCTTCCTCATCTTGTTGGTGCTGTGGGTCCTCTCCATACTCCTCTCCATTCCCGATGCCCTCTTCAGCAGCACGAAGGAAATGCACAACAAAACCATCATGTGCACGCATGATTACGGCCAGAAACACTTCTTTTGGAAAGTTGTCTTTCAGGTCACTCAAAACATCCTGGGTTTCCTTTTGCCTTTCTTCTTCATGGTGTTCTGCTATTCCCGCAGCGTGTGTGTCCTCACCACGTCTCGGGTGCCTGGCTCGAGGAGAGCACTGCTCTTTGTCTTTACTCTGGTGGTTGTCTTCTTTATCCTGTGGTTCCCTTACAACATTGTCCTCGTCCTTCACTCCCTACAATACGTTGGTTTGATCCAGAGCTGTGAGAGGAGTAGGCAACTGGACTATGCCATGCAGATCACAGAGAGCTTGTCCTTTGTCCACTGCTGCCTCAACCCTGTGCTCTACGGTTTTATGAAGAAACGATTCAGGTCGTACCTACAGAAGATCCCTCAGGCTTTCTGTAGGAAGGGCACCTTTGACATCCAGCTCTCAGAAACAAGCTGCTCTTGCAGCAGATACACCGCTCAGATAGAAATGTTGAGCGTCACCAACACATGATAAATTCTTTCTGGCTTTTGCCACGGGGCACTGTGCTCAGCCAGGCTCACCCCTCAGCCTACCAGGAGAGGCAACAGGAAGAACAGGCAGTTTTAAGTGGGTCTGAACCACACTGAAGCGTACTGAGCAGGACACTGTGTCTACCCAAGGGATGGATCCTTGGTCTGAGATCAGTTTCATAGAATCATAGAATCATAGAATCACCAAGGTTGGAAAAGACCTAAAAGATCACCCAGTCCAACCGTTCACCTATTCCCAATAGCTCCCACTAAACCATGTCCCTCAACACAACATCCAGCCTTTCCTTGAACACCCCCAGGCTCGGTGACTCCACCACCTCCCTGGGCATCCATTGCAGTGCCTGACCACCCTTTCTGAACAGTAATACTTCCTCATGTCCAGCCTGAATCTCCCCTGCCGTAGCTTGAAGCCATTCCCCCTGCTCCTATCACTGATGACACGAGAGAAGAGGCCGACCCCCAGCTCACTACAGCCTCCCTTCAGGCAGTTATAGAGAGCAATGAGGTCTCCCCTGAGCCTCCTCTTCTCCAGGCAGGTTTGATCATCACAGCACCAGAATTCAGACCAGTAACTATCAGCAAGAGAGAGAGGGAAAAAAAAAACACAAAATGAAAAAGCTCAATGGAGACCATCATTAACAGACATCAGTTTGACCTGTTTACAGAGTGGCAGCATGGCCTTAAACGGAAGAGCATGGATAGCTATTTGCCAATTCTTATGACTGATGTGCTTTTACAGTTCAAGGTTACTAGTTTGTTGATCTTTATTTAAAAGGTGCTGTTCACCCCAAATGTTTTTGAACTTTAGCTGGGCTTTTTCCAGCCTAGAAATCAATTCAGCATGTAAATTGGCTAGAACTGTGCAAATAAAGTTTATACCTTCAGAGCACATGCTCATCACCTTCTTGATGTTATTGCTAGATAGTGTTACTGATAGAACTGAGAAGGGTTTTCAGTTGAACAAAAAACATGCATTTGTTTTCACTGCCGTTATTGCCATCATCACTGCTGTGTGTTTCCAAAATGGTAAAGCTAGGAGCTTCACTTATAAAAACACCAAAGCAAATATGAAGGTGATGCTACGCTGTGATCTTTGCTACGTGGGTCAGGTCTGCGGCAGGGGTGTGGAAGGGAAGAACAGCTGGGAAACAAATCTGAGATAGATAGAGATCTTCATCTCCTGATCTACCTAGGGAGGGCCCTTGGGACTGTAAAGAGCTTTTGATGGGATGCTTAGGGGAAGAGGTGAAGGTAAAGAAAACAAGGGGTGAACTGGGGAGGAACGAGGGTGGGAAAATAGGGAGCGGGTGGAAGCAGCTTGCCCTGTGCATGGTCATCTCCTTACTAAATCCTTTTCCCTAACTCTCTCACCACTTAATGCCCCTTTATCCCACTCGACGCTGCTGCAAGGTCCGCATGCAGCAGCTGGATGCCCAGTAGTGCTGCACTGGGCACAAGGCACAAGGTTCCTGGGGTACCCCCACCCCAACGGGAGACATTGAGGACCAGAAGGCAACATGAGTGGAGCTGTTGCAGACCTTTCCTTCTCTTGGCATTTGAGACCAAAGTAGCTCCGCTCTGTCTCCGGCTTGATCCCAATTCCAGCAGCACTTCAAACATCTGTTCCTCCTCTCTTCTTTCCAGCCTGCACTGCATATCTGTAGCTGAGTGTTAAATGCAGAAATTGCTGAGGGGAATTCTCCAAAGACCCTTTTACAAAACAGTGCAGCCCTGAAAAGAGGTTTGGCTTATACTGCTGCAGAGCTCACGCTTACACCCATCCACTTTATGCAGCAGCCTGTTGACTGCAGTGGACTCTAACGTACCTTTCACTTTAAAAATCTCCGTGTGTCAGCCAAGAAAGAGATGTCCTCACTCCAAATTGGAAAAGCAAATAATTGCTGCCAATTGGGGCAGATGCTGTCAGCTCTGCACCTGCGTATCAGCTGCTGATCGGAAATAAAAGGCACTTCCCTCACTCTGGGTCAAACCCCCAGCCAGGAGAAGGGCTCAGATGGCATTCTGGACAGTTTTCCTCTGTACCTTGGTGGTACTGCTGCTTGGGGGGCTCTACCACCTGGGGGCCTTTCGGAGACGAAGACCCAATGAGCCGCCTCTGGACAAAGGCATCATTCCCTGGCTGGGTTATGCACTGGATTTCAGAAAGGACAGTTCAGCGTTTCTAAGCAAGATGCAGAGAAAATATGGAGATATTTTCACAGTGCTGATCGGAGGCTATTACTTTACCTTTGTGATGGACCCCTTCTGCTTTGGAGCCATTGTGAAGGAATCACGGTCTAAACTAGACTTTCTGACCTTTTCAGCTAACTTGGTCTACCGGGTTTTTGGCTACAAGTCCAAGACGAACAACAATAGTGATCTGCATGTTTTTAACACGAAGTATCTGATGGGAGATGGACTCACTCTCCTGACACAAGCCACCATGGACAACTTCCAGAAGCTGTTGTTTTTCAAGCTGAGCTCAGGAGAGGAGAAACGACCATGGCAAGAGGCCGGCCTCTTCCACTACTGCTACAACATCGTCTTCAGAGCTGGGTACCTGGCTTTGTTCGGCACCGAGTCGTACCAAGGGACAGAGAACAAGGAGAAAGCTTACGAGCAAGATCTCATCCACTCCAACCAGCTGTACACCGAGTTTCGGAAGTATGACCGCCTCTTCCCCCGCCTGGTCTATGCCGTGTTGCCTCCCAGGGACAAAGTAGAAGCTGAGAGGCTGAAGAGGTTCTTCTGGGATGCTCTGTCTGTGAGTAAGAGCTCTCAGAAGGAAAACGTCAGTAGGTGGATAAGTGAACAAGACAAGTTTTTGGCAGAAATTGGCATGCCTGACTACATGCGGGACCGCTTCAAGTTCATGATGCTGTGGGCATCCCAGGGCAATACAGGCGCTACTTCCTTCTGGCTCCTCTTGTATCTCATGAAGGATCCAGAAGCTATGAAGGCTGTAAAGGCAGAAGTGGAGAAAGTCTTGAGGGAGCATGGTCAAGAAGTGAAGCCAGGAAGGCCACCAATTAACATCACCAGAGACATGTTAGCCCAGACTCCTTTTCTGGACAGTGCCGTGGAGGAGACCCTGAGGCTGATGGCAGCCCCAATCCTGATCAGAGCCATCCTCCAGGATATGACCCTCAAAACGAGTGGTGGCACAGAGTACAGTCTGCGCAAAGGGGACCGAGTGGCTCTGTTCCCACACCTCTCTGTGCAAATGAATCCAGAAATCCACCCCGAACCTCACAAATTTAAGTATGACCGCTTTGTCAACCCAGATGGCACCAAGAAAAATTTTTACAAGAATGGCAAACGGCTGAAATACTACAATATGCCCTGGGGGGCCGGTGTATCCATGTGTCCTGGGCGGTTCTTTGCTACAGAAGAAGTTAAATTGTTTGTGTTCTTCATGCTGACTCACTATGACCTGGAGCTGGTCAACGACCAAGAGGAGATCCCAGACATAGATTTGAGCCGCTGGGGATTTGGAACCATGCAGCCTGTTCACGACGTGCAGTTCAGATACCGACTACGTGTTTGAAAAAGCTGTGGTGTTCTGCTTGTCCAGATGTTGCTATGAAATAAACCGCCCGAGCCGGTGGCTGCTGGATCTGTGTGGAGCCAATGCCAGTATGTTCTTCTTTGCTTAACAGCATGGTGGCTTTTCTCTTCGTCTTCTCTGCATGTAGCACAGCCCTGCATCACCCCTTACCCTGTCTGGGTAGGGCAATAGAAGCTCATCTGCACACCCACAGGGGAGCCCAGAGATACAATGGTGAGGTGGAGGGCCCCAAGTAATGCCCTGCTGGGTTACTCCCAGCTCTTCACAATGGCTACCAGCCTGTCAGAAACCAACTTGTACATGCCAAGAGGAGAATGATGATGTAACAGTAGGTTAATTGAGGACAACTGGGAACACAGATTTAGGATGAATGCCTCAGCTGGGTCTCTTTGCATCTGTTCCACCAGAGCAGCAACCCCACAGCCCAGGCATGAGGCCTACTGAGATTAGCCACAGGGATTGGGATTAAGGGGTGAGGCATTCTGTGGGGCACAGAGGAGAGGCAGGTGGGGATTGTAACAGGTTTATGGTGGGATGCTTGAGGAACGAACCACAACGGAGAAAAGGAGGGATTCAGGTGATGCAGGGAGGAAAGTAGAGTTATAAAGAGTTAAAAATGTGCAGGTGTGTGCAAACAGTCAGCTCACCCATACACTTGCCTTTCCACACTGTGCCCAATCTTTCCTTAAGAATTGCCTTTCTGTGAGAGGAGAGCTGGGGTCTGGAGTGCAAACCTGGTTCCTGATGTCCTCCCAGCCTTTCCTCGAGGCTCATGTACTGGCATTGTTCCCATCTAATGCATGCTGGGGGTACCTCTTCCCTTCCTTTTTTTTTTCCTTCCTTCAGCAGCCAAGGGAACATCAGTCCCCACAGGAGTTAAGTCACAGCACAGTGAACCAACTTGCTGCAGATGCCGTCTTTGGAGGTTTTCATAGAATGGCTTAGGTTCACATCCCTCCTGTGCTGGGGATCTGGATGCAGTGCTCCAGGTGGGACCTCACAAGGGCAGAGCAGAAGGGGACAGTCACCTTCCTGCTCACTGTTGTCCCTCTGTTGATGCAGACCAGGATGCAGTTGCCCTTCCAGGCTGCAAGAACACACTGCTGGCTCCAGAATCCCCAAGTCCTTCTCCGCACGGCTGCTCTCTGTGAGCTCTGCTCCCATCTGCACTCATATCTGGGACTGCCCCAACCCAGCTGCAGCACCCTGCACTTGGCCTTGTTCAACCTCATTAGGTTCTTGTGTGCCCACTTCTTGAGTTTGCCAAGGTCCCTCTGTTATGTACAATCAAGGTCCAGAACTCAAATGTTCTATTATGTCTCAAAACATCAAAGCCAGATTCTGCTTTCTGTTGTGAAGGACGGGGCTATGTTATAACTGCAGCAAATGAGCAACTGTTGTAACTTTTCCTGGTGAAGGCAGAGCTGTCCTAGGAAAAAAATAATCTGCATTTTAGTGCTTTGCTGTACTCTGTGTGTGTGTGTTTTGTTACAGCTTGTAATGACCTCAGATCAGAGTTGAGAGGTGAGAGTGGGTTCTGAACAAACATGGACTGGGTTTGGGAAAGAGAGAGAAAAACGATGAGAATGGCAATGATTGAGCAAAAATATCTGGTTTTAATTCCTTGTCAGAATAGATAATTTAACAAAACAATATTGAGTCTATAAAAGACTTCAGACATGCTCAAACGCATGCAAGTATGAGAAGCAAAAATCACTTAATTTGAGGAATAGTGTAAAAGCTCCAAACGGGTAAATCTGCAATTAAAGTTTATGCTTGGATGGGTTGTCCACAGAGCAGTCCATCCCAAAGCGTAGCAGTAAGAGGAAAAACCAGACTGTGCCAACAGATACCTTATGGGTCCTGAAAGGTTCATACACCACACCTCATCGCGCTGTCTTCCATAACTCCTTGAAACCCAAGAGAACCGAGCATGAAATCTGGCCCTAAGACCTTGCTTTTCTCTTCTCCAATGCACTGTGAAGAAGGCATGACCTTAACATTCAAAGATGTGCAGTCTGACAAATCAGTGTCTGCTCTGCACAGCACAGTGGGAACTGCTTTGCTCCCAACTTGCTCCATACACAATGCAGGAGGAGCAATCAGGGTGCTACAAGCTTCAGGTCTGTGGCAACATGGGTTAAATATGCTGGAAAAGATCCCCACTAGACAACATCATGTCTAGCATTGAATTGTAACATAGTAGGAACTGATTTCCCATCCTTGACCTTCTGAACACAGTGAGGCGTGGCTTGAGGAAAGGCTGTACTTAAATGCTGCATGTAGGGAAAGCTCAAGAAACCCAACTGCACCCGTAAATGCATCACTCACATCAGAGAAACCCAAAGGAAAACAGAGGTTATAGATACAAAGCAACGACACAGCGAACACCATCCGTCCTCAGCAGATCTTGAAGGACTGCAGCGTTCAGGATGCCCTGGGCTTTCCTGAAGAATCTGAAGACAAACTGATGCAGATGCAGTGGGGCAAGTGAGGGGTTGTTATGAAGTCCTGTGTGATGGGTAAACCAGTCATCTAGTTCTAATGGGAGAGTTCAAATACACATGCCCCCCCCAAAAAAAGTGTTGTGGTGTCTACAGACCACGAACCCCTTGAGGAACATGACCAGCTCTGCAGCAACAGCAGTGGAAGTGCCCACGGAGAGCATGTAGGCCCTATGACAGGTGGTTAACTTGAGCCCAGGGAGAGCAGGCTCAGCTTTGGGAGGATTCAGGTAGGACAGATGTGCAATTTATCAGTGACTGGAAAGCCCCAGTGCTTTTTCCATCCCTGCACTCACCCTGTGCTACAAGTGCAATGTGCTGAGCCTGACCAGTGGATTTCACCAGGGTCCCGTTGCCCAACCCTGTGTCTGACACAAGGCAAAGACATCACGGGACACATCACAGACATGGCAACACAGCACACGTCTCGTGGGGAGGGACTCACAAGGTCTCTGGTTCAACCCCCTGCTCACACTGAGCTGCTCAGGGCTTTTATCCAGTTGGATCTGTACATCCAAAGCTGTAGGATATGTTGCTGCCTGGCATCAGCCCCCGGAAGCACTGTTTCCCCACAGTGAATCTTCCTGACTTGTTTTCTGTTTCCCCACTCCCGCTATCACCTCCTTGGAGCTCTTGAGAGTATTAGAGTTGTTTTCCCTTTATAATTGTTTCCCATTTCCTTTGGGATTTCACAGAACCACAGATCTGTAGGCATTGCAAGGAACCACTGCAGCCCATCAAATTCAACCCCAGGAGGCAGGCAAGAAGCCCACCAGTCTCTCAGTCCTTGTAGCAACGGGATAAGCGATCCAGTAGCATCTGAAAGTGCTGGCATCCTGGGGACAGGGCAGAAGTCAATAGCCAGTGTTTGCACACTGACTTCAGGGAAGATTTGCTAAGCTGCTGAGGGCTAGCAGCTAGTCCCATTCAGAAGGGGCTCTGCAAACCTTTCCTGCCTGTTCCTGGAAGCACAGATCCAAGTCACCCAAGTGCTGTCAAGTTACCACCTGTCAGCTGAGCCACGTTAACTGCATTTCAGCTCTTACCAGGTGGCAGTGCGTTCATTTGCTTAGCTGTGCTGAATTGCATTTAGGAAGAACAGAGTCAGCTCAGGTCAGCTGATGCGCAGTAACTCGACAGAACAGTTTGCTACCAAACACAGAGCAGAAGGGGAGACGATCCTTGCCTATCTCCACATCCCCTTCACTGTGCAATCATGAGGCCGTACTTGGAGCACAGCAGACCCCTTTTCTTTTCCCGGTCAGTGAGGAAATTTCTCAGTTTGGTGGTGGAGAAGGTAACCAGCGCTTGCTGCCTGTTGTCCAAACCCGTCTCCTGGAGCCACGGGCTCTGAAGGCACTCGGAGGCTGACGGTCTTCCCCTGGGACAAAGGGGAGAAGGTCGGTTGGGTTTTCTCTCCCAGATCCCAAATGGGAGAGGAAGAAGGGGGGCAGGAGCCGGGATTTGCACAAACTGCCAGGGGAGCCGACGCTGCCTTACCAGGGGTTTGCACACAGGGTGCTCTGGAGAAATGACACTGCTCCTCCGGAGAGACCCGCGTAGCACCGCGTCAGCTTCACCTTCCCCTTCCTGGTGGTTCTCAGGAACTCGCAGGGCACATCAGAGCTGACTGGATAGGTGGCGCTCAGCCTAGCCCGAAACAACAGCACTGTCAGCACAAAGGGCATCGCTTGAGATGCTCCTTCCCCTGGGAACTCCCATCCCATCATGGCAGTGCAAAGAAACATCACATGAAAAACAGAATCCCAAAGAGCAATGTTCTTCAGTAGGCTCCATGACTTCAGCTGCTTTTCTGCTTGGTGTAATTTGAATTTTCTTGTTTAAGTGGGGGCTTTTCAGACGAGGCTGAGCAAGAAACACAGCAGCTGCTGGGCTGCAAAACCACCTCCTTGTTCCACTTGGAGATGTGGCGGGGACTGAGCATCCTTGTACAGTGCAGCCAGCTCCACAGCCTCTGCCACATGTCTTTGGTGGCACTGCTCAAGGGAGAGGCTACTACTGATGTTAATATCTGAGTGGGTACAGCTCCCTTTGTTGATGACTTGGAAATAGCACTTTTAAAGCCAGGGCTATAGAAGGACAGGCTGAACTGACTTACATGATGAATGCCGTGATTCCAACGGACCAGATATCAGTCTGTGGGAGGGCTCCTTGCTCTGTCAGCAGTTCTGGAGCTAGAAAAGCAAATGGGTGTGAGCCAAGCTCCCCTCCGATGCTACAGCACCAAAGCCAGCACTTAGCACTTGCTAAGGTTTTGCTACCTTCCTGAGGATGGAGAAAATCTTTCTGGTACAGGGAGGTTGGCTAATCTCAGTCATGGCCGAAACAAAACCTTGAGAACATCAAAACAACGGGGCTTGTTGGCACAAACACTACAACCTTGAGCATAGGACACATGGACACCAGCCAGAACACCACTGGTCATGACTTCTGGCTCTGTCCTCCGTGGTGGCCTGGGAACTGCTGTCACACCACCCATGCCCATCATCTCACTGTGAAACTCCTTGCTGGGGTCACCTGCACTCTCAGGGCCTTGCCCACTGGCTCAGCCTATCTGTTTACTGCAGATTGCATACAACATCAGGGTTGCTGTGAATAAACTCTACTCACCCATGGTTTCAACATAATCCATGCATTTGTCCAGGGTAATGACCTTGTCTTGTGTGTAAAACTGTGCATTGCCAAAATCCAGGAGCTTCAGCAGGTTGGGCTCAGTGATGATCATGTTTTCAGACCTGAGATCCAAGTGCAAGATGCTGTGTGCATGGAGGTACTCAACTGCACTGAGGATCTGCCACAGGTAATCTCGGACCTCCACCTCTGAGTATGACGTCCTGGTAGAAGAAAGTGGTAGAAACCAGAGGTGTCGTATCTGCCTGCCCAAAAACATCATTCTGCCCCTGCTATAATCCTCCTCTGTCTGTATGATCCAATGAGGCTCTCAAGAAACAACTCCAATCATTTCAGAAATCACGTAATCATAGAATGGCTTGGGTTGGAAGAGACTTCAGGGATCATCTACTTCCAACCGCCTGCCATGGGCAGGGTTGCCAACCACCAGCCCAGGCTGCCCAGCATTCCATCCAAGCTGCCTTTGAGCTCCTCCAGGGATGGGATCTCTGAGCAGCAGTGCCAGCACCTCACTGCTCTTTGAGTAAAAAAATCTCCTCCTGATATCTAATCTAATGACACCCTTCTTTTAATTTAAAGTCATTCCACCTTGTCCTATCACTTTCTGCCCGCATAAAAGTCAATCTCTTTCCCTTCTATAAAGTCCCTTAATCTATACAGAGATTTTTGCCCCTATTGTGAATCAGATGCAAGAGGTTCAGCAGGCTGCGAGAGCCGTGTGTCAGAGAAAGCAGAAGTCAGAATGCAGATTTGATGCCCACCATTCCCACCCCCTTAAATCAGAGGATTCCAGCAGATTCGTTTTCTGCCATTGTGAGAAGCAACATGAAGGGGAAACAAGATAGAGTACAATGGCAGTTATGCTATGACAGCACACTGGAACAGGTGGAGGGAGCTGATCCTGCCTGACAAGTGAAAGCAATACGTGCTTTGCTACCTACTCCAGCCCTGATGGGAAAACCCTTCCCTCCACTTACGATTACCTTAATGCCAAAGAGTGGAGTAGCTCTGGTCCCACACACATCTCCTGGATCAACACCAGGTGCCGGGGGCTGACATAAGCTCCCTTCAGCTGAGCTATGTTGGTGTGATGAAGCTTCCTGAGGACCTGGTACTCCAGCAGCACGCTCTGCTTGTCCTCTTGCCAGTAAGGGATAATTTTAGCAGCTAAAGTCTTGCCGCTTACTTTTTCCCTGCACTGTCGGACGATGCTGAACCGCCCCCTGGTACAAAGGAACACAAAGGCAAGTTAAGCTTCTCTGCTACTCCTGGAAGAGCCAGGAGCTTCTGTATTTCAAGATCATATGGATCCCATGCTGTGTTTTTCATCCCTCCCCTATGTTGAGTTACTGCAGCAACTGTCACACTTTGCACGTCCTCCCGTGTCACTAAACTGTGCAGTCACTTCAAACTGCAGCACGTGCAGCACTTCCTGCTGGCTGGTTGAGTGCTCAGCTGGATTCCCTACCTTTTGATCTCTGTTTGGAAGGCGTAGGTCTGGTAGGTTGGGAAAGGTTCGGGTGGTGCAATTATTTCACTCTCTTCCTCCGCTGTTGGGAAATTCTGCATTGCAGCAGGGAATTCTGCAGAGAAAAAGCAGCAAAGATTACATGGGAAAACAACTCTGTGTGGAAACCAGAGCTTCTCTGAGCTGCTCTCCACTACCTATGGAGAAATAAAGGTGACGGTGGGGCTTTCTGCATGGAAGTCTGCATGTTGGCTCCTGTTTGCAGCACAAAGTTCGATGTGAATGCAGCAGATTCTGGAATGGACACCCAGCAATTCCCTGGTGGAACCCCTCCAGACTTGTGTAGGTTGCACGTGGTGATGGGTTTACAGTTGGACTTAATGATCTCAGAGTCATTAAGGCTGGGAAAGACCTCTGTGATTCTGTGAGTACAATATCAAACAGCAAAGCAAATCATCAGAGTACACTAAGACACTGCTATGTGTCTTAGTCTAGGATGTGTCTAGGATGAGAAATGTTAGGAAATACTACTCTGAAAGAGTGGTCAGGCACTGGAATGGATGCCCAGGGAGGTGGTGGAGTCACCGACCCCGGAGGTGTTCAAGGAACGTTTGGACGTTGTGTTGAGGGACATGGTTTAGTGGGAGCTTTTGGTGATGGGTGGATGGTTGGGCTGGAAGATCTTGTAGGTCTTTTCCAATCTTGGTGTTTCTGTGATTCTGTGAAACACATCTTGATGTCAGCGAGCCCAGGCACATTGAAGTGTCTGCTTGGGAATGCTGGACACGTTCAGATGAAGGGATCTGATGCTATGGGCCCTGGGTGGAATGACTGCAAAGTATGTTTGCTAATGAATCCCAGGCCAAAGGAAAGCAGATGGTTTAGAATGGGTTAAAAATATCTCTGTGAACGGATTTTTACAGAGAACTCTTCCCCACTGGGAGGAAATTCCAGTTGGTCCATCCTTCCGCTCCTTGAAAGAAAACCTTCTGCTGTAAGGATATCTTTTTCATGTGAATGTGGATCTTTCAAAAAGCAAGAGAATATTACAGAGTATTCAGGGAAGAAACAAAGAGTGCAACTATTTAGATGCCAGAGGAATACAGCGCTCTCCCAGTGCTCTTACCCAATTGATCCTTCCCGCTGATTTTCACTGCGGCAGATGGGCTGCTGTAAGGGCCCATTCCTGCCTTGCTGGTGCAGGCTATCCTGAAGCAGTAGGTAACATCTCTGGAGAGATTTCTGGCATAGTAGCAGCAGTCAGCGATGTCAGCAGCAAGAGTTTTCCACTCCCCATCTGAGCCAAGGAAAGGCAGAAGAAAGAGATTAGGACTCACTTCAGACGTCAAGTCTGTTTTTGTTGTTGGTCGGTTCGATGGTTGGTTGTTGGTTTTTGCTTTCCTCTTTCTTCTTTTCCAATTTAACTCACAGTGCTGGCAGTATGGAAAAGCGATGGAATCTTTAAGTGAAGGTAAAACTGATCTGATATGGGCTGCTTTTGTGTGTGGTGCAACCAGCTGTCAATGTGACCAAACCTCTTCCAAAGTCAGCGCTTTTCTGTTTGATCAGTCCAAGGTGTGGCAGCGCTGCTTCAAAGGAATGGTGAAACTTCATGCCACCAATCCCCACTGTAAATAGACCTCAAGAGCTCTGAACTCTGAAAAGCTTAAAGAAAACCCTGGCTTTATCTGCTTTATCCCTTTGGTCCTGTCTTGAAACTGAAAGCAGGAGGGCGGGATTTCAGAGCACAGCCATTCATAAACACCCTTCAAACCAACCCAATACTTGAAACTGAGGCCAAATTCCCTCTGCTTTTATAACGTATGGGAGGTGTCTCAGGGAAATGAAACTGTAGGTTTGTCTTGGGACTGAGGTGTGAAATAGAAGATCAGCAGCAAACGTTTCATGTGATGCTGTGTCCCACTTTGTCATTGCTACTGAAACTGTCCAAGATTAAACCCATCCTTGCATTCAACTACACACTGACAGACACCCTCAAATTTTGCACAGGCAGTAATCTCTTAATATAAAGGTATCAATGACTTTGCAGGGTTCTGGTTGGAGTAAGATGTGTGTGCATGTACGAAGGAGGAGATACAGCTTAGAATCAGAGAAGCATCTGCAGAAGCAGCATGCAAAGGCCTACTGTCAAATACTGAATGAGGCAAGGATTATTTTTTCTGCTTATCTTAATCCTCCTGTGTTCAGAAAGTAGGATTTCACACGTCCCTGCCAAACACACCGAATGTGACTGTACGTAGTAGATGCAGTTTCCCATTTTTCCTCCCATCTGGAACAACTTGCATCTTACATCCTCCCTGGAGCATTGCCTGCAGTTGTGTCAAAAGGATTAAACAACAAAGAAAGCTGCAGTACAGGAAAAATGTTATCAGCTCCAGAATAAAAAGCTGTGTTTGTGTTATCCAGAATGAAGTGCATGTATATTGGGAGAGTTAAAAGAAGGTACATGGAGCAGCTCAGTCCAAAGGTTTATGTTTACATGACTGCAGTAGAGATGATGTCAGTCACAGTATTCACAAGAGCAGCAGAACCAATCCCAAGAGAGACAGAGAGGGAACTGACTCAGAGTTCATGGAATTAAACAAGAAAACATCCACTGACTTCACTGTGCTCTGGATCAAACCTTGGAAGAGAACCTCGAAGGGATGGCATGCAGGTTTACCAAACTTCTGTCATGGCTCTTCACCATGAATTTAACTGATAGAAAAAGAAAGCGTGGCTGTTTGGCATGGGGAGAACTGCCTTTTTGATGGCCATCTTTCTCCATACAGAGAAAGCCTAGGTATATGATGGTATTATCTGATAACCACTGGGCTGGGCATTATTAGTGCACAATTATTTCACTTCCATCCACAAACGAGGGAGGTCAAGTGAGGCAGTTTCTGAATAAAATTAATATATCCATATATATATATATATGGAGAGGTCGTATAAATTGGGATGTTCTCTGCTAGGTGTGAAGGCAGAGCCCTGCTGTAGGAGCTGGATGATTCTTTAGGGATCTCTTCCAGCTTGGGATATTCCACAGTTACCTTTACTCTTGCACTGGACAGTGTAACGGACACAAGTGTTGGTTTCCACAGGTTTCCAGACCACTTGTGCTCCATCCTCATAGACCTCCACAACGTCAGGGGGTGCAGGGCTGGGAGGAACTTCTATTGAAACAAGGCAAAAATCAGTGACTGTTAGCTTTGTTATGCACAGGAACAGCTTTTCTGTGTTGCAGATATTCAACTTCAAATGTATACGCGTCTGTATTTATGGATGTGACCATTCCTCATGGAACAAAAATTTAACTGTGCCTTGTTTAAAATAAATATTCAGGTTTTGAAGTCTGATGTTATGTCTGTGTTTACTGGCTGAGTTCTGAACCCAGGAGAAAAGTTAAAGAATGTAGAAGAGGGAGTGAGGAGCTGTGGGTGCCCCATCCCTGGAGGTGCCCAAGGGGTCCTGGGCAGCCTGACCTGGTGGGGTCACCCAGCCCATGGCTGAATGGGCTTTGAGGTCCCTTCCAACCCAACCATTCCATGATTCTGCAAATCAGAACTGCAAAATGTGCCACGCTACCAGCTAGCAAGGGTTGTGGACTACAGCAGGCAAGGGAGAAACTTTCCCCTGAATATTTCTGCAGGAATCTCACCTTGCAGATGCTTTACAGGTCACATTTTCTTGGTGGCAGAAGAACTGCCATCCCTCCACTTGGGTCTGCCTTCGATTTCAAGGGGGAGTGGTTTTTACTGAGACAGGGGAGGTTTAGGTTGGATATGAGGAGGAAGTTTTTCCCCCAGAGGATGGTGAGGCACTGGCACAGGTTGCCCAAGGAGGCTGTGGATCCCTACAGGCATTCAAGGCCAGGCTGGATGTGGGCAGCCTGGGCTGCTGGTTGGCGACCTGCACACAGCAGGGTATTGCAGCTAGACAATCTTTGAGATCATTTTCAACCCAGGCCATTCTATGATTCTATGCTTCAAAATCAGCGCTTGCAGTATAAAAATGTAGATCCTTTTGTTACCTGCTTTCCTTACAACACAGGAGGTGGATGCTGAGCCCAGGGAGCTGGTGGCCACACAGGTGTAAATGCCAAAATCCTCAGCACTGACAGAGAGAATAGTTAACAGCTGGAAGTGCTTGAGTGTGGACGAGATGAGGATCCGACTGCTGCTGTGGACTGGCATCCCATCTGCAAGGTGGAATACATGAGAAATAAGTACCTTGGCAATGTAGAGGTGCCTAAGCCACCCCTGTCCTGGAGGGACCTGCGGAGGGCTGCAAGCTCACCTCTGAACCAGCGGATGTGCAGGGAGGAGTGCGGGGTCGTCCGGCACGACAGCGTCACGCACTGTCCTGCAGCAGCTGCCTGGTCCAGGAGCTCCTCAACAAATGAAGGTGCTGCCAAGAAGAGACAAACGTTGATGCAGAACGGCCAGGAGTGCTACGTGGTGAATGAGTGTGAGAAGAAGACTGTAAAACATTTTAAATCAGAGTAAACATTTTGTTCATGCCCTGGCATTCCTCTGACCGTGGCTTTTCAGAGGCGTTCACGGCACGCAGGCAATGAGGCTGTGTTGAGTTCCATGCACACCACACTGCTTATGCACCAGCAATACCTTTCTCTTTTGGCATGAGGCTTGGTAATTTGAACGAAGGAAGTCCTGATTTCCACTTCAGAGATCCTTCAGCTCCTGCTAAGGGCTCTTTTTCTGCTGCCTCACTTCCCAGCTCACCAAACTCTGTTTCAAAGAAAGGATGAGAAGTCATTCAAGGCCATCGCTCCTTATCATTCACAGCAGGCAGTTGAGCCATTCACACACACACAGCTCAGCAGGGAGAGGAGTCCTTATCAACGAGCCTTCAGTCAACATGAAAGGCTGTGACAAGTAGTATGAGGAAAATGGTACTTGATTGAATATGGCTTAGTTGGGAAGGGTGGAGATATAAAGACGGGTTTAACATGAGGACAGGTCTTAACACGAGCCAGCAAGGTGCCCTTGCAGCTCGGAAAGCAAATGATATCCTGGGCTCCAACAAAAGAGGAGTGGCCAGCAGGGACAGGGAGGTGATTGTCCCCCTCTACTCTGCTCTTGTGAGGCCCCATCTGGAGTGCTGCATCCAAGTGTGGAGTCCCCAGTATAAGAAAGACAGGGAGCTGTTTGGAGAGGGTCCAGAGGAGAGCAACAAAGATGATCAGGGGGCTGGAGCACCTGAAGACAGGCTGAGGGAGCTGGGCTTGTTCAGCCTGGAGAAGAGAAGCTGCGGGGTGACCTCATTGCAGCCTGCAGTGCCTGAAGGGAGCCTGCAGACAGGAGGGGAGTCAGCTCTTGGAAAAGGTTGACAACTGCAGGACAAGGGGAAATGGTTTTGAGTTGAGGGAGGGCAGGTTGAGGTTGGATGTCAGGGGGAAGT